GAACACCAAATTAATGCAGAAACACCAAATCAATGCAGAAACACCATACCAATGCAGAAAAACCAAATCAATGCAGAAACACCAAATCAATGCAGAAACACCAAATCAATGCAGAAACAACATACCAATGCAGAAACACCAAATCAATGCAGAAACACCAAACCAATGCAGAAAAACCAAATCAATGCAGAAACACCAAATCAATGCAGAAACACCAAATCAATGCAGAAACACCATACCAATGCAGAAAAACCAAATCAATGCAGAAACACCAAATCAATGCAGAAACACCAAATCAATGCAGAAACAACATACCAATGCAGAAACACCAAATCAATGCAGAAACACCAAATCAATGCAGAAACAACATACCAATGCAGAAACACCAAATTAATGCAGAAACACCAAATCAATGCAGAAACAACATACCAATGCAGAAACACCATACCAATGCAGAAACACCAAATCAATGCAGAAACACCAAATCAATGCAGAAACACCAAACCAATCCAGAAACACCAAATCAATGCAGAAATACCAAATTAATGCAGAAACAACATACCAATGCAGAAACACCAATTCAATGCAGAAACACCAAACCAATGCAGAAACACCAAATCAATGCAGAAACAACAATTCAATGCAGAAACACCAAATCAATGCAGAAACACCAAACCAATGCAGAAACACCATCATCTCCGGAGTTCTTTAGCTGAAATAAAAAACAATTTGATCAAAACTTGCTTTTTTAAACAAAATACTACCTCATAGAATAAACAGCAGATAAATGCAAAATTAATCTACAATCATTATTTTGACAGAACTTAACATTTTCAAAGCATCTAGTTTTATGAATTTATTAGTATAGATGGAAGGGCAGAAAAATCAATTTTCACAAAGCCAAAATACTCTAAATCTTTAATGAACTTTACACACAAATTAATTTCAAATCTTAACTTTACACTGCTGTAAACGACAATTCCATTTCTTTCAGTTTAAACGTTTTCTGAGCATTTCTATCAATCGGAATGAAAACCAGGATTAATTGGTACTTTTTACATTATTTCAAAAATCAGAATGCATCAATTTGGAAAACCAGAAATTTCACCCCACTGGTGACTACATGAATGAAACTCATTTAGACCAAATTTAAGAATCTGAATTTAATGTTAATTCTAAGGGGTAGTATTCCTTTAAAATCATGTCATTACTGATATACAAATGTAAGCAAGGACTAAAAAAACTTTGTGCCTTCATGAATTCTATGGCAGACGAATTAAATGCCGTTTTTTTTTTAGGAAAATACCAGTCAATCAAATACCCAACAAATATTGAAACTTCGATACGTTTTGATTAAGTTGTAAAGGAACTATATGTCATATTTTTCTTTGTTAAAGGTCATGATTAGCAGAAATAATGCTCAATGAACTAATATTTAGATGACAATGGAACATACGGCATTTCATCTGTAGATGGGTTTTTCTTTTTGAGTACTCTTTGGAGGTCTCTTCAACTGTTGATCTTTTCTTCTTCATTCTTCACTTCATCTGTTGGCACCTCTTCATCTGTTCTTTATCTGTCAGCGCCTCTTCATCTGTTCTTCATCTGTAGGCGTCTCTTCATCTGTAAATAGGAGGTCTGTAGAGTCATACAGGTCATGACTTCAGATCACTCCTATTGTGGCAGTGCTATTGTGGGTAGGTAAATTACCGGACAATTTACCTTTTCTAACCTAAAAATAACTATATGAGCTAATAAACACATTGAATGCATAAAATGTTAGCTTTAAAGTCCAATTTGAGTAACAAATTTAAAATGAAAATAACATAGATAATTAGATGATTATCCCTTGGGGTATTCAAAAACAACAATAGTTTATGAGAGGGCATGAAATACCTCAAAACTAGAGACCAAAATCATTTTGTGGGGTCTCGAAAGTTTCAAATTAAGACAATCAAAATTTGTCAAGATTTCAGATAAATCTTAAAACTTGCCTTGCGAGCTTCAGTGCCACACCGTAAGCACTTGACTTCTATATAAATGAGCTCTTTCTGTTTACACCTACAATTAGAAATAAACAACCTATTTTCTTCGAATGGCACGAAAGAAATAATCAAACAAATACATACATACAAATAAAAGGTAGCATGAAAGCGAGAGATTTGACCAAAGATGAGCTGGCATAACTTGAGGTTATCCTTTTAAAATTTGTCCTCTTTCCTTTCAGATCAAAATTAAAGTAGGTTGCCACTAGCAAAGGTGAATGTTAGGCCACACAAGAATACATCATTCTCACGGGTAACATTCCACTGGAACGAAATTTATAGACAAATTGATTTGGTTTCTCAAAAAAGCAGATATATATAATATATAAAGTGTGTATTATAAATATGAATTGTATAGCAATATCATATCCTAGATTATAATTAAAACATCGTTACCTAGCTTCGTTCCAAGAGTCGCCTTTAGGACATTGTGCTTCACTATAACCAAATTGACCTCCAAATTTAATGTCCTTCTGAAGCTAAAGACCAGCTCCTTTGTTCTTGGAACCCTGGAAGAAAAGATTCTGATTTTTAAAGTTGGTGGGGAAAGTTAGGTGTAAAGAGTAATGAGAACAGAAGAACAAAATCTAGAGGAATATATCCCTTGCCTTATCTAAAAGTTTTAACCTAAAGTATCTTTCAGTTAATTCTATAACATTAAAAATAACCTAGTAACTAATCAGATGACTAACACTAACCATCTTTTCAAGAATATTGCTTCAGTATATCTTCATAGAAAATAGAAAATGAACAGGAATTGTTCAGGGTGAGTTTTACAATTGTGACTGGAATTAAAATATTTAGATACTGACCGTGCTGATGTTGATCCTCTAACTGCATGTGGTGTATGTCAAACCCAATAGTAAAGACCGCTATCGAGTTCCCACTGACGGCTAAAAAAAAGACAAGCATTGTATTGAGTTAAAATACCATGCATCTGAGGACATATTTTATTTCTGGTTTATTGGGCATGGCTATTGAACTATGATATACTGAATGTCAATGGGATTTTTTGCAAACTGGCAAGTAGGACGTACAACTCCATTCATTTCATTTCATTTTTGCAAAAAGGCATACATTTCAGAAAAGTCACAAAAACACTCAAATATAAGATAATCTTACAAAAAGTGGGTGGAGGAAGCGCCCCACTTCTTCATCTGTTCCACTTCATCTGTTCTTCATCTGTAGGCGCCTCTTCATCTGTAAATAGGAGGTCTGTAGAGTCATACAGGCCATGACTTCAGAACACTTCTATTGTGGCAGTGCTATTGCAGGTAGGTAAATTACCAGACGGTTTACCCTTTCTAACCTACAAATAGTCACAAAATAACTGAATTTTGTTAAAAATGAAACACACAAAAACATACTGTCAATTTTTTACATAAACATTTGGCTTGAATGGAGACATTCATTTTATTTTGTTGACTGGTCAAAGGAAAAGGATCGAGTAGTAAATGGTCAGGTAAAAGGATAGTATTATCTAATAAAGTACACTTGCCTTACGAGCTTCTGAGCCACACCACAAGCACTTTAATTCTATATAGTGAAACTCTATCTGTTTACACCTAAAATTATAAATAATTCAAACATAAGTATACCAAGTTTCTTCAGGTTCTGTCACTTTGTATGTATTAAGGACGATTCATAAACAGTTCATCGCAAATCATTCCAAGAGTCGCCTTTAGGACATTGTTCTTCACTATAACCAAATTGACCTCCAAATTGAATGTCCTTCTGAAGCTAAAGACCAGCTCCTTTGTTCTTGGAATCCTGGAGGAAAAGATTCTGATTTTTAAAGTAAGTAAGGAAAGTTAGGTGTAAAGATTTTTTAGGTCTTTGGACTACGAGTACGATTTTAACATATTAACCTTAATATTCGTGAACATTGCTTTTACCCTGTGCCAGTACCTTGGATAGTAACTTTTTACCTTTCAATCACCTTAATCACTAATATCATCTTTTCAAGAAAACTGAACATAAAGGGAAACAGAAAATAAACAGAAAGTTTTCAGGGTGAGTTTCACAATGTGTGACGAATAATAGAACAGGAATTGTGACTGGAATTAAAATATGTAGATACTGACCGTGCTGACGTTGATCCTCTAACTGGTGGTGTATGTCAAACCCAATAGTAAAAACCGCTATCGAGTTCCCGCTGACCTGCCGGCTGAAATTTAAAGATTTTTAATTCAATTAAAGCATGTGTCAATAAGTTGAGATTAAACAAGTGAAGGTCCCTTACTTTTGTCACCATGTTTTTATTTATCAAGTGTTTACGATACTGTTTAACCTATATATTCTCAATATATTTCAATAGTTTTTAATTCACTTCAAAATTCAAAACAAAACATAAATGGGGGATAAATCATTGTGCTGAAATAACTTAGTTTAAAAACTTACTGATTTTAATTTGTTTTTATTAGTTTTATTTCCTGATCTATGACAGATATTTGAATAAAATTTATTTGGATTTGAGCACTTCTTGTTCAACATTGTGTAGACTACAAATAGCTAGTTTTCAAACTTACTGATTTTAATTTGTTTTTATTAGTTTTATTTACTAATTTATGGCTGTTTTTTGGTTAAAATTTATTTGAATTTGCGCACTTCTTGTGCATCATTGTTCAGACTACAAATAGCTAGTTTTAAACTTACTGATTTTAATTTGTTTTTATTAGTTTTATTTCCTGATCTATGACAGATATTTGATTAAAATTTATTTGGATTTGAGCACTTCTTGTGCACCATTGTTCAGACTACAAATAGCTAGTTTGATAACTTACTGATTTTAATTTGTTTTTATTAGTTTTATTTCCTGATCTATGGCAGATATTTGATTAAAATTTATTTGGATTTGAGCACTTCTTGTTCACCATTGTGTAGACTGCATATACATAGTTTGAAAACTTACTGATTTTAATTTGTTTTCATTAGTTTTATTTCCTGATCTATGGCAGATATTTGATTAAAATTTATTTCGATTTGAGCACTTGTTGTTCAACATTGTGTAGACTGCCTATAACTTTCAGATTTTAATTTGTTTTTATTTGTTTTATTTCCTGATCTATGACAGATATTTGATTAAAATTTATTTGGATTTGAGCACTTCCTATTCACCATTGTTCAGACTACAAATAGCTAGTTTTAAAACTTACTGATTTTAATTTGTCTTTATTTGTTTTATTTCCTGATCTATGGCAGATATTTGATTAAAATTTATTTGGATTTGAGCTCTTCTTGTTCACCATTGTGTAGACTGCAAATGTTTAGTTTTAAAACTTACTGATTTTAATTTGTTTTCATTAGTTTTATTTCCTGATCTATGGCTGATTTTTGATTAGAATTTATTTGGATTTGAGCACTTCTTGTTCACCATTGTGCAGACTACAAATAGCTATTTTGAAAACTTACTGATTTTAAATTGTTTTCATTAGTTTTATTTCCTGATCTATGGCTGATTTTTGATTAAAATTTATTTGGATTTGAACACTTCTTGTGTACCATTGTTCAGACTTTAAATAGCTAGTGTTAAAACTTACTGATTTTAATTTGTTTTTATTAGTTTTATTTCCTGATCTATGACAGATATTTGATTAAAATTTATTTGGATTTGAACACTTCTTGTTCCCATTGTGCAGACTGCAAATAGCTAATTTAAAACTTACTGATTT